TAACGCCGCTGATATTTTCATGTCTGCCACCATCCTTTTTCAAAAACGCACCAGCAATTACTGCGATAAATGTTGGCTTTTAAATCCCGATCCGTTTGCATCTTTTATTTGTTTTTTGTTCTTCATCACCACCCTTGATTCTTCATCCCTCTGAGTCTGTGTGAAGTTAATGCTGCCGCTCACCAGCCCGTCTCTTTTTACAGCCGGTGTATCCGCACAGAGGTTTAAACGTGCCCCTTTATCTGAGCCGCCCAGGCGGGAAAATGAAAGGAATGGCGCTCCTTAGAACCCTGGGAAAGCGGCAGGCTCAGAGTCGATACTGAGGGGAGGGCACCGAGCGGACAAACGCGCTGCACACACCAGCATACCGCTTTACAAAGTCTTAGTGAGGCTGTGAGGCCAGAGGTGATACTCCAGTAGGATTAGACAAAACTGAGAAAGACAAATTCATCAGACAATTTGGGATTGACCACATCTCGTCACTTTGTCTCCTGCACATCTGCACGAGCACTACGTGAGACTTTTAAAATCTAAATTTGCAGCAATGAATAATTGCTGTCTCTATGCATTAGTAAACCTGAGTAAATGTACTTTGTCAGAAAACAAGGAAGTACGTATCCCCGGGGGCCACATCGGAGATAATTCCACCGCCTTCACAGAATATCAGCCATCACTCTGCATCTCCCACGCATCCTCCACCAGAAAATCAGCATCAGCATGAGAGACAACAGTGCCGACTAGACAAAAGACTGTTTATAGCACTTTTTTTTTTTACACACAAATGTTTGCTGTTTTATCTCCAGAAAACTATTTAATATTGAAAATTAGATTGAAGGATTTGCAATATGCTGTTGAGACTGTGACCAAATTCAACTCCAAAATCTAAGCTGGTTGTTTCATCAAACAAGTCGAGCTGCAGCCTGAACCTAGGCGATCTGGCAAACAGATTAATGTAGAACACCATGAGGTGTGAGGGCCTCTTGGAAGACGCTCGCAGGCATGCATCAGCATCAGGAGAGACAGGACAAACAGCAGACCAGCACAGGAACTGCAAACCCACTGACCCAGCATGAGGAGGGAGAAGGGACTAATTAGCGACTGTACTTACAACTCCAAAAGAGAGAGAGGTTTGGGGAGCAGGGAGAGAGGGGAGGCATGCACACGCACGCACACACACACACACACACACACACACACACACACACACACACACACACACACGGAGCACACAGTTGGAGGATGAGGACAATGAGTTTGTTTAGCTTAAACAGGATTTACAAGCCAAACAGACACACGCCAACGCCACTCACTCAGACACATAATATTGCTCTTCCTCTCAGTCGTGACACTTTTCTCTCTCTTTTACACACACACACGCACACGCACACACACACACACACACACACATAAAAATAAGGGTAATTGCTAGCGATGGTGAGAAGTCTCGGAGTACAGGCGGTACCAGTGGGCGAACAGCTAGACATAGGGAACACTTGGTTCCTCCTGAGTGCTCTGACTCTCATATTGTTCCCGGTGAGCCTGGGTGACATTTATGATTCAAGGACTACGATCACTTGGCAAAAAACGGGAGGAGGGCTCGGTCGTTCCCTGAATTTGTCATGAAGGAACAAGCATAAAGGAGATGGGAGTCGGGGTTTACTCTCCTCTCAGAAATAAACGCACTTGGAGGGACCCGTAAGTGGGAACAGCTCAAGGCTGAAGCTTCACAAACGGTAGTTAAACTGATGTTTTGTCTCTATGAAACAGAAACAACACAAACCCACGTTACTGTTGCAGTTGGAGCACAGAACTCGACTAGAGGTTTCTCACAGCATACAGTCCTCCCTCCGTTCAGTAGGTGGCCGAACAGCACAGCTCATCTCCCCATGAGGTTAAATGCCTTTTAGAGACTCAGCATTATTCACAGTGACTCTCCAGACCTCCTCCCGCCGCCTTCCCAGTTTAAAACAGCTCCGGCCACAGGCCCAACCACTGTGCAGTGTTTTCAGCTGAAGGACAGCAGTGACAGGCGTGCAGAGTTTGAGGGCTTTTTCACTCCCATCGCCTCATCTCGGTCCACTTTGGGCTTCCTACGCCACAAACTGATGCCGTCACAGTCAGTCAGCAGGGTGGCTTTTTATGACCTATCAAGTTACCCAAATTTAACTCGAAGCAGGCGACTTGGGCTTTCATAGACGGAAATCTCCATTTTTAGCCGTTCTGGAATAAAACTAATAAATAAAGCAAAATAAATCAGAACTCTTAGTTAAGAGAATGAATTTAACCAAGTTATGTCAGATTAGGATACATTTAGGACAAAAGCAAGACAGAAGATGGAAAAGCTAGCTTCTCTGGTCATGAGTGGGTAGGTGTGAGCTGACGGCGAGACATCAGACTACAGGAATCCATGTCAAGTTTTTCTCTGCACTCCTCAAACGACACGAACAGTTGGGTAAAATGTCAGGCTGTCAAAACATTGATTAGCGATCGCCAGGTTTTAAGCACTTTCAGCAGACTGCAGCTGTGCAGCAGCAAAGGCTGTGCAACTTTGTAAAATGCTGAGTAACAAAAAGCTAATTACTGCGACACGTGTAATTAGTTGTTTTTCTAGCTCTAATCAGCATTAGCCCACTGCTGCACAGCGGTTTTAAGGTAGGCAGGAGGATGCTTCTTGCTTTCTCTGCTTGCAAGCAGCAGGTGAGCCCAGGTAATTGCACAGGTGTTTAAGATAACCTGTTACAACCTGATCTGCTTCTTAAGATAAATATCTAATATTTCTCAGCTGCTTTGTTTTTGTGTTGATCTGTGCTGAGAACAGAATATTCTGCCTCCTTGTTCGGTGCACAGGAGCACACACATCCTTGCATCATCTTTTACTAATTTGGCTGCAGCTATGCACGTGTTGTCTTTCAGTCTCAGTTAAAAGCCTTGACCTTTCTCCCTTTGCATTTCCAGCGTGATGCTGCCTGGCAGTCTAGAGAACCAAACAAGCCAGTCTAACAAAGCCTGCTTGTATTTGCGCCCATCTTCAGAGCTTCTGAAAACATCCAAATTTGATTTCAGAGTGAGTCTAGAGGAGTCTTTACCCTGTTTAGTGAATAAGATGCTCTTCTGTCTTGTCTTGCAGTCTGCCTGCCTGCCTGGCTGGCTGGTTGCAGAGAGGCCCCAGGAGGGACAACAGACAGAAGGAAAACTCAAACACACACACACACACACACACACAAAATTCAAACACTTGAAGATGGCTCTACTTCCTTGTCCTCTTCTTTCATTCCTAATTTATCTGGTAACCTGTGCTGCATAAATGCATCTTCTTTTCATGCTTTCCCAGGATGACTTATTAATGCTCCTTTGGTTTGTTCAGAAGGTTAAAAGAAAGAGGAGAGAAAAAGAAAGCTAAACAGCCGCACTAATTAATGTGGTGCGGTTGACAAGTGTTGCTGCTGAAACAATTTCATTACATCACCAATTTAAATTAGCGAGGAAGACGAGACTGGAGGGCGCGCTCCCTCCAAATGTGTTTACACACGTTCTTAGACAGACATAAAGGAACACAAACACCTGCAATCCAATGCAATACTCCTGCAATCAATATAAAATGCAGCTTGTAATATTTCATTTTGTGTCAAATTTGTGGGTGCAGTGGGGCTTTAAGGCATCTTTGCTGAATGTTTGGTTGATGACCTGCTTTTTTATTAAACTGACAGCAACCAGTGAGTGTTTTAGCACAGCAGCATAGAATCTAACATTTTCCACATTTTTCTTTAAGATCATCAAAATGAAAACATTTGCTGTTTAACCCCCGCTCTAAATCTTCAGCTGTCCTGTGGAGGGGTGAAGGGTAATGAAAGAGCAGCAGTCTCCACCTCCTCCCCTCTTATTCCTCCTCCCATCCTGAACACCCCCCCACCCCCTCTGCTGCAGCTCTGCCCTGGCTGGCCTCACATCCAGACGGCAGGAATTTAACGGGGAGGGTCCGCCGAGGCTTAAGACACAAGGCTGCACAGAGTCAAGCAGCTTGTCCGCACTTAGGAAATGGGATCACAGATTCTGATGGTTTTGTCCAAAGAAAACAAGACGCCATAGAGGAAAGAATGTGCTGAAAGATCAAAAAGTGGGAGTGCATTGCAAGAAGTCAGATTCACATCCATCAGGGGCCCACGTTTCATTTAAAAATCAACAGTTCACTTATTTTATTCTCTTCGCTTCGGTAATAAAACAACAAATAACAAGACATGACTCGTGTTTGCAGGACGGATCAGAGTCACTGAAGCCCTTTATGTCCCCATTGACCTCAAATTAGGAACCACTGACCTTTTCCAGCTCTTTCAGTGAGCACAATCAGTGTTATGATTGCAACGCTGGGTGCCAAATATCACAGAAGCTGCAGCACAGGTGTTGTATAACACATCCTAGGCGGAGTAACACTTGGACATGCCAGCTAATTGCATTACAACAGGTAGCCGATAATAGTCTCGATGGGAGTCAACAAGCCCAGACAGCTGACTGTTAGCTAAGTGGCATACATTCTCAGTTTAGCATCAGCTGATCGAACACATCTACCCACACACACCAGAAACCTGCCATCCATGAGCTCCACTCATCTCCCACCGGCTGGGTTATTCTTCAAAATCGAGCATGCGGCTTTCTTGAGATGATCACACACACACACACACACACACACACACACACACACACACACACGCGCGCGCGCGCGCGCGCGCAGTGACTTTAGCCACACTGGCCGTCCACGGAGACGTGAACAGCAGAGCGCACCGTCTGGGTTTGCTACGCTGCGTAAACGCGCCCGGCTTGCGCTGCCACAACCTACCCCCCCCCCCCCCCCCCCCCCCCCCCCCGGACACGGTTCACGAGCGGCTGTTAAAAGGTTTCCAGGAGGTCACCCTATTGTTAGCAGGTAGAGCGGGTCCAAGCACACGTTCACAACAAGCTCTGCAACAAAGGCACAAATCCAGTCAAAAAGTAGGCGCGAAACTTACTTTCGGGTGAAGCTGAGCTGCAACGCCGCGTATTGTTTCACCCAAGCGCGTGTTTACGCCGCTCCCGTTCACTTCACAAAGGCGACGCGAGAGCTCCGAAGACGGTGACTGACTGATTGACTGAATCAACTACCGTGGAGCACGGCAAGTTGAAGTGTCAGATTACACTGGCTATTTTGTTACCACAGAGAGCCGTGCACGGTGGCAGGATAGAAAACACGGTCCAGATTCTTACGGGAGGATTTACGGTCAAGCTGTAACTACAGGCTAATAAAACTTGAATGTAATTTGACATTACTTTGTTGTAATTGTTGGCTATTTACTTCATTTTACTTTTTTGTTTTGCTTACATTCTTCCTATTATTATTGTCCATCCCAATGTAAATATAATACACGACCATTAGATTAAGTAAATATGATATAATTGTGTTTTGAAGAATCAAAGGGCAGACTTAGAAGCTGACATTTTCATTAAATAAAAACAAAGAAATGACAAAGAAGCTAAGTAAATTTAAACACACCAAGTGGGAGAAGGAACAGCAGCAAAGCAAAGACCAACAAGAGAAACCAGGGAGTATGTATGCAGGGAGTCAGTGATTAGAAGAAACTAAACAGCTGGGCTGATTGACAGATGCAGGACAAGTGGAATTAGCTAATAACAAAGGAAGCTAGCACAGTAGCTCAGGAGTTAGAGTGGGTTGTCCAGCAATCTGAGGGTTGTAGGATAAATCCCGGCTCCTGACAGAGAATGCTGCTGTTGTGTCCTTGGGCAAGACACTTAACCCACGTTGCCTGCTGGTGGTGGTTGTAGGGGACTGCTGGCACCTGTGCTCAGCAGCCTCGCCTCTGTCGGTGCACCCCAGCTGTGGCTACACCGTAGCTCATTCCCACCAGCATGTGAATGTGTGACTGACTGACTGTGTTGTGAAGTTCCTTGGGGGTTGTAGAACCCTAGAGGGTGTTATACAAATACATTTTCCTCTTTTATTGCAAGTTCTGACTTGAAGGAGCACACAGGTGTATTGACAAGGGCTGTACTGTACTCCAGCAGCTCTGCATGTATGCTGTAAACAATCAATCAATCAAAGCGCCTTCCACGACCCTGTCGGGAAGCCCAAGGCGCTGAAACTGAAGAACTTCTTTAAAAAAGAGCCCCTATTCAAACAAAATTGCTTTCCTTATTCTTTCACAGCAAGATTTCATGTCAAAACAAACAATGAATAAAGAAACACAGAGAGGAACAGGAAAAATGATAAAAACAAGTAAATACCCTAAATAACTAACTATAAGAACAAATTAAATAGCAAAAATTTCACTCAAAATCCGTAAAACAATAATGAAGATTTAAAAATGGCTATTATTATTATTATTATTATTATTATTATTATTATTATTATTATTATTATTATTATTATTATATTTTATTTATTTATTTATTTATTTATTTATTGTTTTATTGTTATCAACGTTATTATTGTTTATAAACCATCCCTAAAATGATTCTTGCTGAGGCAGTATTACATCTGTGGTAACAAACCTAGAAACTGCTCTGAGACTTTGCAGTCTGGGCTCCAGTCCTGCAACCCTGCAGATTGACTCCGTGTTTTGCAGGCGGCCCGCCTCCAGTGGAAGTCTCTGAATAACAAAGACGTGTTTGAGAGCAGAGGCAGGCTGGGCTGAGCGGTGACGTCAAGGAACAATGTCTCTCCTCCCGACGCGCACGCACACACGCATGGTGCACATTGGCACGCACGCAGACAGACTCTCTCTCTCTCTCTTCCTCTCTTCCGAGGCTGAGCTGCTCCAGAGGGAGGGTCGTTCAGCTCGCATCACTCACTCCTTATGCGGTGTCTGCACGCAGGATGGATTCAGTGTGTTTGGTGTTGGAGGGGATCGATGGACTTGGCAGCAAATAAACTAGAATAAATCATAAAAAAATACAATAACCAGCCTGTATTTGTAAAGCGCCTTCTAGCTAACCCCAAGGCGCTTTACAACCCAGTCATTCATTCACAGACACATTCACACGCTGGTGATGATAAGCTATATTGTAGCTACAGCTGCTTGGTGCTCACTGACAGAGGCAAGTCTGCCAGTCTCTCCAACCACCACCAGCTGGGTTAGTGTCTTGCTCAAGGACACAAAGCAAAGGTATTGCACCATCACTTGATGTTTTGTTGGTGATTTTTTTATTTCAGATCAAAGATCATCAATAAAAGTGGTAAAATGAACATTAATTGGAATGTTAAATCCACAATGTCACTCTAAAATTCAAAACGGACCATTTTTCCCTGTCCATGTCTCAGCTCTTGTTCCCTGTTGAGGGAAGTGCTGCCATCCTTTTAGCTTCCTGCCTGCAGGTCTCCTGACACTGATGCAGTACGGGCCTGAGCAGGCTATCAGCAATAAAGAGAAGGGGGGCATCAGTGTGTCTCAAGGACGCCCCGGCCCTCTGGTCAAAGCAGCTATCTACAGTGATGGGGACAAATGCCACCAGTGACATCACCGTCTCTGGCAGTCACTCATTTTTATTTCAGGGGAGCCGGTTTCCTCAAAGGAGATTGGGTGAGCAGTCAATGTCGCAATGTTGTGAGCTCATGATCAGATTTTTTTACTCCTCTCTGTGGAAATGTCTCGTTGAGCTGTCTTTGTCCTCACACCGCTGCTTTGGCCATTGATCTTTTTCACCTGTTATGTTGCAGCAGCACATCGGCTCTTTGAATCACATCAGATAAATCCTGCGACACACATTATGCTTTTCCGCTAAAAAATCCTCAGGGCTTCTGCTTTCCCCAATCAATCTGAATAGTTTTTAACATTTTCAAGTTGTTGCTTTCAGCCTGGTTTCAGTGGTTCTTGAGCCAGATACGTGAGAAACTTCACACTGGACAGCACTCTGTAGTGCTCTGCTGACTAGAAACTGCTTTTAACAGTTTGTGGTTCAGGTTGGAACCCACTGCCTGCTTTACACCTTTTAAAGAAAGAAAGAAAACAATATTTTATATAGCGCCTTTCACTATATAAATCACGAGGCGCTTCACAAAAACAAAAAAATTCAAGTATAAAAAAAGATTTCAAAATTTTTTTAAAAATATGTTTAAAATGAGAAAAAAAATTTAACTTTGAATTAAAAAATAAACGTACGGAAAGGGAAAGAGAAAATGAATAGGAAAGAAGGAAATCTGTGGATCCCGGAAAAGGCAGAACAAGAAGTTAGCTGTTTACAGGGCTAGTAGCTAATACAGGTCCTTCTCAAAAAATTAGCATATTGTGATGAAGTTATGACTGCATAACTGAACATAATTATTTGAAGGTTGACTTTTTTTTGTATTAAAAACACTTTTCTTTTATTGGTCGGATGAAATATGCAAATTTTTGGAGATAGGAATTTTGGGTTTTCATGAGCTGTATGCCAAAATCATCAATATTAGAAACAATAAAAGGCTTGAACTACTTCAGTTGTGTGTAATGAATCTAATATATATGAAAGTCTAATGTTTATCAGTGCATTACAATAATGAACTTTATCACAATATGCTAATTTTTTGAGAAGGGCCTGTATAAAGGCTAACTGTTAGTTTTCCAGTTCGCTGACTATCAATAAAAGCACGAGGAGAAGAAGAATTTTGCTTTTTTTTGGGAACATGGTGGGGCCAGGAAGTTAAAGGTTTGACGGAGGATGTTTCTGAACTTCAGGAAAGAACCACCCTCTCCATATTTTGAAAAAATGCACGCTCTTTTCACAAGTAGCTGCCGGCCTTGCAGCACTTCTTCTAGCAGTAATCTGAAATGAATTTCTCCAAATAGCATACCAAACCTTAGCTTACCTGTCGAGCAGCAAACCAGTACAGAGGCGTTTGTGGGGAGCCTGACCTTCACTTTCAGTGCACGCATTGACGAGTCTCCTAAAAAAACTGGTCTTATTTATCACTTCGGAGGCCTTTTTTTTTCTTATCATAGATTTCAAAGATGCTTTTTCTCTTGTGACGTTCGGCCCTTTAAAAAATACCCAGTGAGAACAGCGAGGAATGACAGCCTATTGCTTTACACACAAACAGAAGTGAAAACGAGTCCAGGAACGAGCACGTATGGCGACAGCCTTGCGTGAAGCTTCACCAGAATGATTGACAGTTATGCGAACCAATAGTTCAAATGATCCACCCAGAAGAAAAAGTCCTCTGCTATACCTTTAAAGGAAGAGTAATGTCTTTGAGGTGAAGCAAAGAGCTAGAACTAAAGTGAACATCCACTGGCCTACACTAGTTTAAGATAGCTAAAGGAGGCTATGGAGTCATGGACTGATGGTGACCTGGCTTTGTTGCTGCTGGACAGTGTGGATCTTTCTACTTTGTGGCTAATTGTAGTATGAGTTGTCTCGTGTTAGCATTAGCACATTGTTAGTGCTAGCTACAGCAAATGCTGTTGCAGGGATGTGTTTCGCAGTTGTAATTCTGCTTTTAACCAGTAGGACAGAGATGCAGAAAACCTATTTAATGTTGCTTTAAAATGCAAAAATATATTCTCTTTATTATTTTTTCTCCACACATTTGGATTTTCAGTTTAGCTTTGTTAGTACAATTTTTCTGGCTCATCCATCAGGTTTTTGTGTAACAGCAGCGCAAGACGACAAGGCACCGCAGCTGCTCAGGTCACTCTGCAGTTCAGAAAGGGTTTGATGTCAGAGCGCTTTGCTTTCACTACATTGCGTGCAGCTCAGCCGTTTTTTTTTCTTAAATACTACAGCCAGATGGCTGCCAATAAGATGGATGGCTTATAGGTGGAGTGACTTCAGCTTCACTTGTCTCTGTGTGTAATTTCATACACTCTGCTTTTGAGTCCATGAAAGGAGAACTCTGAGAATAAAGCTCCAGCAAGGTTCGTTCATACAACTGTGTTTTTATTTTTATTAAAACATAAATGCAATCAAGCCACGTTTAGCTTCCGACTTTCAGTCGGGCACAAAACGATGTTCATTTCTCTCTGCCACCTTTTCAGCCGGTGACAAAGCCTTCCCATGTTGAAGCCGTGGGGGGAGTGATGGATGCTTCTTGTAGCTACATGATGGAGAGAGAGTTTCAGTTGTGCTGACATCAGCTTTCTCATTCTCATAGAGGTGTGATGGTGGTTCACACTGCCACCCTGCTGTCAACACCAACGGGCTCCTCCTGCCGAAGATACCGAGATGATTACTTATTGT